CGATGAGGCGCGTGTATAAATATGCAAGGAATATTTACCCGCACCATGGCATGAGTTACCACAAGGAGGGCTACTTGTATAGGGGCAAAAAATAATGTACAGGGTGATCCATTCAATCTGAATATAGCAGCTACAATGTTTGATATTTGTGATACTTTTAAGAAAAATTGGATTGCTCTTAATTATAAAGACATCAGCTTTGTGTTTTATTGTATATTTCACACAAAAATACCTTTATCTTTATTAAAACAGATGTATATCTTTTTTGTGTTTTTTTGCATTTAAACAAAATCAAAATAAATCCATTAAAATATTGTTTTATATTTCAAGGTAGCTAACGGAATAGTTAAAAGAAGAAACCTGCATAAAAAGAAACAGCAGTTATAAGTGAACCACCCCATAGATTCAGTCAGCCAGCGAGCGAGAGAGAAAGTTACAGCGTGATAAAGAGACGGGATTATAAGGGAATGAGAGGAAGAGAGAAACAGTCGGTGGCACAAAGAGGAAGGGTGCAGGGTGCTTAGGATCGATAGATATATAGAGGCAGAAAGGAACACAGGAAGCGTCTGACACCTGGGAAACTCCTGGGGATTCTTACGAGGTGATTCAACTCGAACTAATAAGCAAGTTTTTCAATACCGATCGATAATTCGATCATGCGTTTGATTTCTCGAAACAGAACAGTGTAATGTTAAAATGAATAAACATATATGTGGGTTATGTGTAACGAGTACATTGAAAGAATCAATTAATTATATATATTATATATGTATAAATAAATCACGGATTAAGTTACAAAATTTTTAAAAGAAATATCTTTATCTTTTTTTTTATTAACTATTAAACGATAGTTTAACGGATAAAACTTTCCATATTTTTAATATTTTATAAAGACCAAAAAGAAAACTCAAGTTAATGGATAAGAGATTTTATGCTACATTATGTACGTGTTATCCATGTTGTGCAGATATTCTAGATTATCCAAATTTGAAGTTAAACATCAGAAACGCGCGGGCTTCAGGTTTTGACAGCTCAAGTACAAGCGATTAATTGGCCTGCCATCATCGTCGCTTTACTGTCCTTTGCAGCGCATGACCAGATGATCGTCATAAATACTCACAGTTAAATTACCATAAATCGTCGATGAAATTTTTGACTATCTCATCTTATTGTTTATTAGAAATTTATAGAGACAAAAATTTGAGAACAAAAAAATAGTTATATATGTTACATGTATATAAGATCGCGAGTACCTATATACGTATATGTTTGAAGATTCGTGAAATATTCGACTAGGGATAGCCGAGATTAACCCGACAATTTTATGGCGACAGTAGGGATATCCGGCACATGTCGGGAGATGAATATCACGCTAGAATGGTACAGACACAGTTTATCCGCACTGTCAACTCGGCGGATTAAATTCCGATGCAATGTGGCCGTCTGTGAAATCCGGGAAAGTTACGATTAGCTCTAAAATTTTACAGAGTTAAATTTTTAAAACATAAAGATCGTTGTACTTGTAAATCATTGTACTTTTGTATAATGTTCGCCTTACCGCAAAAATCAGACAGGGAATTTTAAAAAAGTATTGTAAAAGATTTTGAAAAGCGTGACATTTATATCATAACATAATATGGATATGTGTGATACAAATGTGTAAAATAAAAATGTCTGATATTTTCTAAAAAAAATATATATATATACAGAGTGTATCATTTTAAGTTATTATTACTTTAAGAGATATTCAGCTGAATCACTTAAAATGATACACTCTGTATATATAGGTATACATTATTTTGAAATATTATAAGAACTGCAACCGCACTCTTTTAGAGTGCGTGAATATGATATTCTTCTTATAGGGATGAGTAATACATAAAAGGGAGGCGCAAAGTGTTAACATATCGAAGCAAGCAGCAGATACTTGAAGCACCCCCGGCCCTATGACTCCTCCGCTTTTCATCTTCTCCTCTCATATCGTTTCCACTTTCCCTCTTTGACAAATCTTAATCTTCCATCAGGAACGCATCTTTGATCTAATTTCTCTTTTAGAAAAAAGAACTTTGAGTTTTCTTTATGATAAGTTTAAGATAACTATTGATATTAGGTAACATTAATGACATAATATGTCTGCCCTGGTGATTATGATGTTGCGTATATGTTACCATAATGGATGCACCATACATCTGTGCGCGTTACACGCATCGAGAGTGCAATGTATGTAACGCAGTTTGATTTATGCAGCTGCTAAATGCGATCTCTATTAAGCGTATACTTTGTATATGGACTCTAGAGTGTGGTAAATCACGAGGGTGTAGCACCGGGTGCTCTCCCACGGGATATATTAATATAATTGTGTCCCAAAGTACCAAGTTCGACACCGTCGATGTTCGGCCGAACTTCAGAAATAATTAACAGTCTGACTCCGCATTTCTTAGCTCGACTGGCATCATCTGTCATTTAGGAACAAATCGCCTGTTTCATCTACAGATTAAATTTATTAAAATAATAAATAGCTTAATTAATTTGTTTCCGGACAAAGATGCGAGAGCGTAACGCGTTTTCTAGTGTAATGCTACAACGACAGTCGATGAAATAAAAAAAAACTTACGATAATTCATTCCTAATATTTCAAGAATATTTCTTTAAAGTTATATGTTAGAATTTGATAATTTAACAAAGATTTATTATAATTATTATGGCTATATATATGTTATATGTAACATAATTTATTACACATATATATCCAAGTAAACATTGACGATAATATTTTACTTGAAAGTTCGTACCGAGGCACGAAGTCTCTTGAATATTTCAAATATTTTGCATATATAAGTAATCAGAACCTTATTACAGCTCATCTTCTTCGTAAAGTACAAATTCTTCTCGCAGAGAACGTACTCGGGGGTTGCTTCAACAAAGAGGTAACAACCACCCTCATAAGCGTGACAACTCACGTGTCTGCCCACGCAGTAACTCGTGCATACACGTGAAACCGAGCACGTGAATAGGGGAGCGGGCTTTGATTCGGACTTTCAAGCGACTCCACGAGAACTTTACGAGGAGTACAACGGTACAACGAGGGTCGGTGGTGCTCTCTCCACATGTAGAAGACCTCGGGGAAATCCTAATATTTTAACCAGCGCCAGCGGCGAGGTAAAGGACTCGCGCGAGCAGAGCACTGAAAGGGAAATGGGGTGTTGTGCTGCGAGTCATCCCTGCGTCTACCCTCGTAGACGACCGTCTACATACGTACATATCCGTATGCGGTATGCTTCCCCTGGAGGGAAGTACTTGCAATTAACGCGGTAAGTCTCGGCTATTGCAAGGGGTGCGCCGCTCCTTCACCGGTCACCCTTATTCTCGGGTTCTTTCGGCTCCGATTCCCATTCCAAGTGAGCTTGGACTACTCGGAGGAGACGAGCTGGAATCTGCGCTCAGTTATTTGTCAGCGACACGTATATAATTTTCACACTTGTAACGCGTAATAATGCGACACAATATATTGTTCGTTATATTAAAGAATGTTTTGCGCGCAAACATTCTCTCTCTTTTTCTTGTGCTTGTAAACGATCTTCATTTTCCTTCAACGAGATTGCGCGAGCATATTCTTGATGTGTCCATTCGAGGGTGGACTTTCTTTCCCCAGGGACCCCAGGCCGGAAATGCGACTTAGTCATCGACTGTCCTTTGTGCCGCTACTAAGTGCAGACCCGTGTAAAATTCTGACGGTACGGTCATCTCGATTCTCGAATTTTCAGATATCTCTAATATTATATAAAATAAATATCATCATTTACATACGGCTTCAACTGCAACAACCTTACATGAAATTGCGAACAACGATCCTTAAACTAAATCTCGATTTTTGCTTAATACATTACCCGTATATAGAAAGTGAAATAACTATTTTGCTTTTCTATTTTCATGTTTATTTTCAATTGCCATAACTGTTTCATGTTAAATTAAATGGAATTATTTGTCAAAGACAATATATCCTTTCCATCTCGCGATAATGAGGACGAGAGTAGTTTAGGTCCGCGTCTGAGTCGACAACCCCTTATATAGTTTCCGTCACAGTCAGTTAAAGCGTTGACAGTCGAGCGAGTTACATCAATGACAGTGGAATGCAGTTCCGGCATTCCATTTCTGTCGCTAGCAGAGAAATCACATTTTATCGTTTGAGACGGAAACGACTCTCTCTCCATGAGACGACAATATAGCTTTAACTTTGTTGCGAGGTATTATTACTCGTTCCAACCGATAAATGGAAAGTGCTAAATGTTCGGCATACATATTTTAACTGTCAACTTATCGGACCCAATTAAACGCACGTGCCGCCAATAAAACAACAAACAAAATACAATAACTAACGAGATTAGGCATCGTTATTCATTATGCAGAAATTTTAATATTTTATTTCTGCTTTCAAATAAATCTTTTTTGCAACTAAAAAATAAATAACATATAAAATAAATAATATAGATATATATAATAGAAAAGTATATTGTATACAATTTGCACATTATATTTATGTTTGTTTCGCAGCATTATTTTGTTTATATAAAATTATCCAAAAAAAAAAACAAAATAAAAAATTTGTGTGTGTGTGTGTGTGTTTTATGTTACACATATAAATATATTATATATTACCTATGTATAACGTAACTTGGAGAGCCAGCTCGAGGTACAGTAAATCACTTTTTAATAGGAAGAGTGGAAAGGACGGAAAGGGCTATTTAGTGCCTTCTGAATAAATTAAAATTAGCACCAGAAAAAAAAGACGAGCTATAAACACCGTCGCATGACGGAGAATTCACTCAACCACGAACGAAAGCCCGGACGCGAACCATCGGCAATCGCCTTTGTACCGACGTTGGCGGCGCCGGCGTCGCGACGCCACCCCCGCATATCGCACACTCTACCACCCCGAAGGTAGACACGCGGCTGCTTTCTCCGTCACGTTTTCCCGAGCCCTGTCTGACACCCTCCCGCCTTCGGTCGCCTTCGGTCGGTGGTGGTCGGTGATGGTCGGTGGTGGTTCCCCATGCGCGCAGAGGGCGGAAAGGGTCCCCCGTTCGCGGGCGTGGGGTTGCGCGCGCACTATCTACCCCCTCTGGGTGTCCGGTACATAATCGAACTGGGAGCGCCGTGGTGGCCGTCGTCAGTTCCGTAAGACGGGGCTAAATTTCATTTCTAAAATGAGAACATAGTTTAGCTAAAACGAGAGAAGATCGAGCCGATGTAAAAACGCGAAACGCGGAGTGAGGGAAGGTTTCGTCGTGATAGGGCTTCCTCGTCGTGATACAGAGAGCTCCGATCTCCGATCTCCGATTTACAGCCCGGCCGCGAGCGCAATCACGCCGCTTATCGCTGAATTGTAACGATATCTCTTCGATGCACGAGTGCACGCGGGATAGAATGATAGTACGACTCGAGGAAAGGAGGGTAATCTCTCCTCCAAGTTTATACGCGCCAGCCTGATCCGAGTGTGTCTAAGATATCGCCAAACCGGGCAAACTCCACGTCAAGTCAAATTCGTCGTTTCGCGAGTGCCAAGCAGTAGTAGAGTGGATATCGTCGGCGAGAGTTAAGTGGGATTTTGGTCGTGAAGGGTTGGCGGAGGAGAGCCGATCGCGGCCGATTTCGTCGGGGTTCAGCCACGTTCCAGCCACGTTCCAGACGAGACAGGATACCGTGAGGTCTCTCCTCGAATCACAATGGCGCCCAACTCCGTGTTCGTGGAATCGTGGCCGGTCACGATCGACTGATGGAACAGCAGCAGGCATCTTCATGGCATTCTAAATATCGACGTAAATCATAAATATCCCCCTGTGTCTATCCGTGTCCGCTCGATGCCGCGCTAATTCAAATGAGCGGACTACAAGCTAATCGTCGTTCCCTAAAACGTCTCCGGTAGTCTCGACGGTGTGCGGTGCACGGTGCACGGTGAAAGAGGCAACATGAAAAGAATTCGCAAGAGGCATCCGCCAAAAATAAAAGAAGATTATGTCAGATCGTCACAGTGATAATGCGTGTAGTGAGTGTGATTAGGTGCATGATGCTCTCGCCTGGGAGTATTTGGCGGTTTCTCATCGCCTATTATCGTCCAGTGAATATGTTGCCTATTATCGAGGAGTAAAAATTTGGGCTGACGACAGTGAGATGGATGCACATGACCCGCGATTTACAACAGTTCTCAATTAATTCGAGCGGAAGAGATACAGCGGTCCGAGGCCATCTGACGACCGCTTCCATTCGTAAATAATCTGTGCTCGAGTCGAAACGTATGCGATGTTTTTTGAAAGAAAGGAATGGACGAGTACCGACGATAAACTGACATTTCACGCGTATATCGCATCGATTGTCTATCTCGCATTCGAACTGCTACCCAAATGAAACTAAGAAAATATACGATAACTCAAAAACAATTTATTCGTTAAGTTGTTCTCGAAGCATTTCCCGTATTCCATCGTTCCAAGTTATATTATACCATGACAAAGAGCACGATGTCGCGTGAAATCGCGATAGAACACGGCAGACCGGTACCAGACCTCGCAAGGAAGTGATAACGACGAGCGAAGAGTGCGGAGAGAAGGGAAGAATCGTGATACGTTCGACATCGGCCGTTTTTACACGATAACCCTTCAACCTGGCGGACCAAGAAGAAGGTAGCGGCTCGGCGGCGATGCAGGGCAAGGAGAGCCCCGTTGGGTCCAACACCCAGGAGACCCATCAGTACGTCGGCCCGTATCGGTTGGAAAAGACCTTGGGAAAAGGCCAGACTGGTGGGTGGTGCACGGTCTCTCCCTCCACCCCCCTCTCTCTCTCTCTCTCTCTCTCTCTCTCTCCCCCTCTATTGCAAATCTCCGTTGCAATCGTTATTGAGATCGACGATAGCCACAGGAATGTCTAATCAAATCAAGTCAGAATGCGGCGTTTAATCAAGTTCTGCATATTCGAAGGGATATAAGTATGAGATCTCGCACACGCGCTTTTCAGTGATAGAGTTTCGAAGCAACTGTTTTCTAATAGGAAATACTGAATTCACCAAACAATTGAGGTTCAAACTTTAGATACGTTGGTCGATACAAATTTGCCGCGAAACTTTCGCGGGACTTGAAGGTCTGCCGCATATTGTGACATAGAACACGTGTGTAATTCTCACGGATTATCTCGCTGCCCACGCAACCTTCCTAAACGAGGATATATTTTTCATGTCTCTTGAATCTATTTGAGGGATTGAGAATTCTGTTATCGCAATGACACAATGAGAATGGAGAGAAAAATTTGAAACATTTAAATGATGATAACTAACGCGAGTTATCGCGGCACAACGATAATGGGATCGAATCGAAGCCATTCCGCGGCCGTGCACGACAAGACTACTAGCCTTACGGCATCGTTGCATTTTCGTGAGCCAGCCGTTCAATTCGGATTAGCTCACAGCGTAACTGTGACACGTGCAAATTCTCGGAGAATTAGATATACACATTATATATATATATATATATATACATATATGTAACTTTCATCGAGGGGGTACATCGAGAAGGCTCGAAAAACAATCGATATTTTGAATATATTGTTGCGCATACATATTTACGAAAGGTAACGCTGTAAACTTGTACAAGTTTTCTTCTGCAAGCAATTCGTAAGTAATCGCAATTTAACTTACAATGTGTGTTGCAACATATTTATATTCTTTTTCAGAATATATTCAAAAATAAATCAGAATAATTAAAGAGATTAGATAAAAAGCTTTTCGCGATATAAATTATAAGAAAAATAAATGAAAGAACTATGCAAATGTTTTACGAAAAGCTCGGGTACGTAAAGATTTGAAGAAAGGGGGGGAATCTAATGCCACACTAATTTGCTCTCACTTCGAAGGCATTCGATGCTATTATACGATCGATACTGACATCGTACTAATTATGCCATATAATGGTTATATAGGTATAGGCAGAGAATTAGAAACGTTTTGAACTTGAATGAAATGTAATCGCAGCGGTATCCCTATAATAATAATATTTCATACCTAAAATATATTAGAAAATTACATTTGTTTATCGCTACATAATTATAAGTTGATAGAATCAGATTATATTCTCTCCAAGAGTCGCTGAAGGGCGTGAACCACTAAAAGAACATAAAAGAAGCCGAAGAAAACGATGAAAGGGGGAGGGAAAAAAGGAAGATTTAATTTCTAAATATCTCTCCGTTCTTGAACTCCGCTCTAGGTATAACTCGGAACTTGGTACTCTAATAACAAATGTGGTTACGGTTCAAAGTTTAAGAGCTCTCCCGCTTTCTGCCACGTTCGCTGTACGAAAAAGAACTCGACGACAATTGTAAATCTTTATGAAGCAGTTAATAAGCGTTTTTAATTAAATGCCACCAGTCCAGGAGGACTGGAAAGTAATAACGTCGACGACAACAAACGTATACCAAAGAAAAAAAAAATTCGCCGATTTGCGTGCGCGTGTGTACTCCGCGTGGCGTTCGGCGTAGAAACACGGGGAAGTAAATTAGCAATATTAAGATGAGACATTCTTCTCTCTTTCAGTGAGCACTTTTTACTTTTTATTCATCTTCTGTTCAGATAGAATATCTAGAAATGCAAGTCTCGATACACAGATGCGAGGCTTAAATAGAAATTTGGTTCTTCGATCAACACGTAATTTCGTGAAAGCTCGTTAATGAATTCACGGCTCGGCTTTCAGCGGATGAGTCTCGTGGTGGTCATTTCCTCTGGCGGACTATATCGATCCCATATGCATCTCGAAAGGGGTGCATGCTCCGGCACGTGACAATACGGCACGTTAATCATACGAATGAATTCCTCTCCACGCTTTGAATTCTGTGACCCACACGCAGGCGAGGTAATGAAATTGCCGCTCATGCTCGCGACATAAGTGTGCGCGGTTTGAATTATAACCGGCGCGGACGGCGGAATCGATGAAGACGTTAGAAAGAAGAATATATAACCGCTTGCGATGGTTACGATGATTCTCGCGGGAACAAAGATGCTAAAAACGCGATAAGTACCTCGGTACCTGTTAAGCTTGGTGGGTGAATTGTAAATTGTAATTGTTAAAAAAAAAAACGATGAATCGGCATTACGTTGACGTATATTCGGGCAACGCTTTAACCGCCAAGTATTTTTTTTTAGATATAAAACTTATCTTTTGCTTCTTGTCACGTATTCGAAGCAGATTCGAGATTAAATATATTAATGTCGTAAATTTAAATACTAGAAAGATTCATCGTCAAAACTTTCAGCTGTTCGATATACTAACAAAAGACATAACTCGTTTAAATGCACGAGTTATGCACCTAAAATTTAATCTTGACAAATATATATGTTTTAAATTGCGTACGACGGGTCCGAAGGTTTCTCTCTGAAAATGCATATGCTATCGACACCGTTAAATCATGGATGACGTAAATCGTTTGGGGGAAGTGCACTTTAACTCTCGATGGTCTCAATAGCCGCTAATGCAATTGCCGCACCGGTTTTGACGGGAAACGTCGCGTCCGTTTAATTCCATAGGAATTGTCATCTCGTCAATCACTGACGAGACTTAATCTCACGCATTTCGATTGAGAATGGCTGAAAGATGACCATCGATCATAAAAAGTGTCTTGGACTATTTATAACATTCTAGCGTAACGTCACAGAAACGTAACATATTTTTAGATGATATTTAAATATGTGCACGTGCGATACAGATTCAGAGAAGCTGACGCGTACGTGAAAAATTATTTTTCACTCGAGTAATCAAAACACGTTGACCACTTCGCGAGAATCGAATTCCTGCTCCTTTAATCCTTCGGATAGACGCGACTCGTTAGGAGGATTCTTAATTGCTCTCCATCGTCGATTCACAACGAACCAGTTTCTTTCTGTATTTTTCTTTTTTTCTTCTTCCCTTCGCTTATCTGCTTAAGCCATGTATTATACAGCCGTCGTAGCGCAGCCATTTAAGTGGATAAAGACATTGTATGGCGCGACTCGTCGTCGACTTCCGACAGCGATTTAATAAACCAATTTTGTGCCAACCTCATAAATCCCATTTTTGCATTGGCTCTTCTTCTTCAAGCGTATTTTTTATCGCTTGTCGTTATAAAGGTTCGTAAATCTGATCTGTTGGGCGTATATACAATTGTAATTATGCTTCGTAATTTGTCTCTAATGTGACACGCGTAATTCATATTACTGTCGAGTAGATATAGCTACAAAACGATGCGATGTGATAGGATCCGCAAGAATTTAATCGACAAAACATTTCTCGTGACTGTAACGGGCATTTTGTATCACACACGAATTAACATGCGCTTGATTAAAGCAACGTTATCAGGTATTCATACGTTACCGCGAATTCGGCCGATACAATAGCGCGTAATTAGGAATATATTGTGAGGAGCCTACACGGAGCGAATAATAACAAATCGATACATTTGTATTTGATTAACTTGAAATTGTTAATATATTTCAGAATACTACATAACAAATTGATAAAATTACGACTGCTCGACGCTTTTTCGTAGAAACCTAAACCGCCAACACTGTCAAACTTCTCACAATTTACCAAGATGGAAAAAATACCAAATTGCTCGAGTAAAACCATTGTGTTTGTCTGTCCGGGATAATAGTGTTTACATATCATCGCATACTCGAGAAATAACTCAATCCCCAAGTAATTTGTGCACGTTCCGGACTGATGGCTTGATCGATATTTTTATCATTTTTGATGTTCAATTATGACCGCAAAATCGTGGCAAATTAATAAAAATTAAAAATAATATTTTGAAATTACGTTAAAGTAGAAAATAAAATAATAATTCGAATTATCTCTATCATAGTGTTATATCATCATAGAGATCAAACAGTTTTAATAATTAATAATATAAGGAAACTTTGTCGACTTTTGATATATGCTCGCATAAGATAAATATTTTAATAGTTTTTTTTTTAATTTTAGGTTTAGTTAAACTCGGCGTGCATTGTGTGTTGGGCAAGAAGGTGGCGATCAAGATTATCAACCGCGAAAAGCTTTCGGAGTCCGTGTTGATGAAAGTGGAGCGTGAGATCGCCATTATGAAACTGATCGACCATCCGCATGTGCTCGGCCTCTCGGATGTGTATGAAAACAAAAAATATCTGTAAGCATTATTGATGAAAATGTGAAACTTTAAAGTTATAATAAACGTCACGTTTATCACATTTTATATGTTCTTTCAAGATATCTTGTTTTGGAACATGTCTCGGGCGGGGAGCTGTTCGATTATTTGGTTAAAAAGAGCAGACTGACCCCGAAGGAAGCAAGGAGATTTTTTCGACAAATAATTTCTGCATTAGATTTTTGTCACAGTCATAATATATGGTGAGTCGCGTGTATTGTCGTTATAATTGTCCATCCACGAAAACATTCGGACTTACACATTTGATTTTGTTATTACTTTTAGCCACAGAGATTTGAAGCCTGAGAACTTGTTGCTCGACGAGAAGAATAACATTAAGATAGCGGATTTCGGAATGGCGTCCTTACAACCTGCGGGCTCTATGCTGGAGACCAGTTGCGGATCACCTCATTACGCTTGCCCCGAAGTCATTAGAGTGAGAGCTCTTAATTACAACCAATTTGCGAATATCAAATTACATGTAGAAATGATATATTAAGTGAGTAACAGCTATTTGAGCTCAACGTCATAGAACCATTTGCTTCCTTTTAACAGGGTGAGAAGTACGACGGTAGAAAGGCGGATGTGTGGTCCTGTGGGGTAATACTTTACGCGCTTCTGGTAGGCGCCTTACCCTTCGACGACGACAATCTGAGAAAATTGTTGGAGAAAGTTAAGCGCGGATTGTTTTACATACCGCATTTTGTGCCACCCGAGTGTCAGAATTTGCTTAGAGGCATGATAGAGGTTGATCCCGAGAAAAGATTGACGGTAAGACGCTTTTTATCTCTTTCTAGTTTGCAATATTCTCTCTCTCTCTCTCTCTCTCTCTCTCTCTCTCTCTCTCTCTCTCTAAATATGTTAATATCAAATGTATTTACAAACGCCAAGACATTTTCTTTTTAAATAAAGCAATGTTAATTTTTTTTAGTTAACAGAAATAAATAGGCATATTTGGGTAACGGCGGCGGGTAAGGGCGAATTGGAATTAGAACTGTCGATGATGGATGTAGTGCAGACGCACGTTATTCCGTCCGTGGAAGCGATCGATCCCGACGTGCTACAGGCGATCGCTAGTCTTGGTTGCTTCAAGGAACGCGACAAACTCATTCAAGAGCTGCTCAGTCCAAAGTAAGATAAGACTTAAGACTCCTCTCTCATAGAAAGACTTTGAATTTAGTTTCCGTACGTTTGATTGTAAGTGTTGGAAAAGTATTGAGAAAAGTAACTGTGGGATCTGATTCGCGTAAATGTTCTTTCAGCCACAACACGGAGAAGGTGATATACTTCCTGCTGTTAGAGAGAAAGCGAAGAAGACCGGCGTGTGAGGACGAGCTCGAGGTGATGAGAGGTGGCATGCGAGGATCCGCGGGACAATTAGAGGCCGATCCGCCAAGAAAACGGGTGGATACGTGTAGAGTGAACGGAAGTACCGCGCTCAATCTCGGACAGATCAGTCATGGCTCGCCTTTGACGCCCAGAAGACAGTCCAGGTAAATTCACGTGAATTCGAATGGAGAGAATTAAAAATGTTACGTGACAGATCGTTTTTATATTTTATTTTATCGTCTTGTTGCGTGAAGAACGAAATCGAGAATATCCCGATTGCCGCGTGTTCTGCTCGTTCCGATAAAACTAATGCGTCAACCGTACTCAACGAGAACGTGCTGTAAGGGCAAGCAGCCGCAAGCAGCTGTGCCGGCTGTGCGTTTCGCTTCAAACTGGCCAGCAATCGCGTGACAACGTCAGTTATCCGTAAATGTCGCGTGCACCGTATCACATGTCTCCCCGCGTTATTTTTCCTCCCTTTTTTTCGTCGATCCTGCATTTACAAGCCTGAATTCACGTTAGGTGCGAATTACATTTTGATTTGTTTATTTCCCATTCGATTACATATTATATTATATACCAACAAAATTTCAATCGAAGCATCTAATTTTCTTCGTGATTTAAAGTGGATGATTCCGTTAATTAAATCGTTAATTATTTGCAGCACGAGACATCACGCGCGTCGATCACCGAGCACAGGTGGATGTCACACTCATGCGTCTCATTCGCACACGTCGACGCCGGGCAGCTCGCCGTTGCATGCACCTGCTGGTCTGCTAAGTCCCCACAGAGCGATGCCGACGTCGCACGTGGGCCAGACAATCGCATGCGGTGCACACAGATTGTCCATTGGTGGCAGTACCACCGCTACTATTGCCGGAAACGGCGGCAGTCCCACGAGTCAAAGCGTCCCGACGCCGACGCCGGCACTCGCCAACGTCGGTATTGAACTCAATGATGTACAGCCTGGTAAGTTTGTTATAAATATTATCCTTAAAATTGTATCTCTTACTCTTACTTTGAAAATATTGTCCCACTTGTTCGCCCTACTCTATATCGGTAAAATATAATAATTCAAATAATTCGTGCACTATTTTAAAATATTTTAACATATTATACTGTTGCATGTTTGGTAGTATCGCTGTAAAAATTTAACACTAACACAGGAGTAACGCGGAACTCTCTTCAAACATTTTCAAATTTTGAACACTTTATATGTGTATGTGCGTGAAGGAAAGCGCGCGCGCGCGTGTGTGTGTGTGTGTGTGTTTCATATACCTACATATATATATGCACAGTTGTGGACTACATGTATCGGTATTGTACAACATCGATAATCACTTAAGTTAACTGTTGCTCTTAAAGACTACTACCCCGTAAGCATGGCATAGCAGATTGTATTACGCTAAGTGCTCTCGTATTTATCGCTTAGCCGCGAGATTGTGTATCAATGTTTAAATAGAATCCTCGATGTGATTATATATAGTATCTTACGTTTAACTGAACATTATTTTGATTTACATTTAGGACTCGCGTTATAATTAAACGAAATTGCGTAATTTTGCTTCACGCGACAGCTTTCCTTCTTATTTCGATCAACCATCACCTCTACTTCCAACAGAAATTTCGAAAGATAACTGATTAATTAAAGAGAAAGAGTAAGCAAACTTTTTAGCGCTTTTAAGATAAGTCAAGTATGTTTTTTAAGATATGGCTCGTTTCGCAGTAGTTGCGCTCGGCGTTACACCGCCGGGCTCTCCTCACACGGGAGCGGGATCTGGAGCTCATCACTGGAGATCGCGATTAACCACGATCAAGAATTCTTTCCTGGGCAGCCCCAGATTTCATCGTCGTAAATTGCTCACTAGTACCGAGGAGGTATGTGTTGTAACAGATATAATAAAAATATAATTTATTCCTTGTCGTTACACACATATTTAATATTCAAATTAATCACAATACACATCAGAGTTATTAGTGAAAATCGCAGTTTTTCAGTCAGCGCGAGATTTAGTTTTTTTCCTTAACAAAAATCAAATATCGATGGATGTTTCTGTAATTGATGAAATTCTCCTAAGCGAAGATTAATTGAAAATTCAGCGTAGTATATAGCGCAGTAGGTGATTTATACTGTATTTTAATGTGTTGGTTTATCATCAAGTATCTATTGAATATTATAGGTACACCTCACGCCGGATTCTTCGCCGGAACTTACGAAAAAATCATGGTTCGGTAGTTTGATGACCACGGAGAAAGACGAAACCTTCACCGTTTTAGTCAAGGGGAAACCGCTAGCCAGTGTAAAAGCCGATCTGATTCATGCTTTTTTATCGGTGAGTGTACCTCGAAGCCTATTATCCGTTTTGGAATAAGTCTTGGAAGTATAAGCTTTAAATGAAGTAATAACTACTATTCATTTAAAAGAAATAATATTCATGTTTGCGAGAATTGCAATCACAGGCGAAGCATTCGATAAAATTTGTTAAAGCATTTGTTAAAAATCTCTAATAGAATATATAAAAGGAATTTAATAATATATGTTTACGTGTATGGTTTTCAGAATATTTTCTGTTAGAACTTTATTAGAATTTAATTCTAATTATACCAATTCTCGATTGACCTCTCTTTGATATATTCAATTTGGCATAAACTGAACGGTTGCAGATAGCAGAATTATCTCATAGCGTGAGCTCGCCAATGTCGTTCAGAGTAGAATACAAAAGAGGTAGTACCGCACCAGCCATGTTCCAGAGACAAGTGCGATTTCAAGTTGATATTAGCGCGATTTCGAAGCAGCCGAATGAGCCCCTCTTCGCCATCACCTTCACATTACTGAGCGGTAAGCGCGCATAGTCATGTTTTCTTACTACCTTCTCTTCGATTAGAAAAATTAGAATTCTCATCATTCTTAAATCAAACATAGCACAAAAAAAGCCAAGGAACGGAAAAGCCAAAAGTTTAAACTGAAGCGTTCTTGGAGAAGTACGAAGCCTTCGCGAAAATATGCCGGTAGATATGGTAGATCGCCTCGCTCTTAAGCGCTTGGCAGTCATCCAAGCGCAACTAGATCGATGTTACCTTGACACGTACAGCTAATATATACAAATATACATGTAATTTTATGTTCTATCCGTATATGTATATTCTACGTTCGGTATGTCGACACCATAGATTCCGACCTTTTTTCTGACGAGTCGTTTAGTTTCTTACGGCCGACGAGAACAAGCCGGAGTCGCTCGGCTCATAAATTTAGTCTGTCAGAAACACCCTACGTGAAATCCAACTATATTTTAATAAGCAAAAGCAATCTTCACTCGAGGCGCAATTTAAAAACGCTAATTTTCGAGGAAATCATATTAATCCTTGATGGTACATTTTTTATAGAATAGTGGAATTTTTTCTTTATAAAAAAAAAAAAAAAAAAAAAAAACTATAGATATTGTCAAAGTAAGGGTCAGACATTAAAGTCAATTCGATGTTTGCAGGAAACATCCGAAGATTCAGGCGAGTATGCGAGCATATTCAATCTCAGGTGTGTTCGAGAAATGTGGGTATGAACTTGGGAGGACAAAGCAGAGCCGCGCCTCCTAGTCCGAGGGCCTCGAGAAAATTCACCACAGAGATGAGTGAGAGTTCGAGCTGCGGAAGCGACACTAGTGAACGACTCTTTCTCAATCCTCATCCAGCTACCAGACAGGTAGTCTGTTTCAACAAGGTAGCGCATCATCCCCATCATCTTCATCTTCATTATCATTGTCATAATAATTAATCATTACTACTCTTTTATTTCTAGATCGTTCATTTCTCAAATGAAAATTCTCGTTAAGTTAGTTTCATAAAACCCCACATCGTTCCTTTTTCATTCATAATCTAGATTAACGTTATCTAGGTTGTCCGCTTGTTGTACGTGAATTTGAATAAATCGCTTTTTTAAATTTTATTTGTAGAAAATTCAAATCTTTTTTATTTTATTTTATTTTATTTTATTTAAGGAGCTACTGTAGAGATTTGCACGGGATAGCAAATGTTAGGAGAGAGCTATCACCGATTAACGAAATAACGAAGCATCGTATCGGTTTCAGATCGATTCGGACATCGAGTCGGATACATCTGTATTCGACGTGAAGTCGCCGACCCGCGAGAACGGTAGAAGAAGCTCGACATCGACGAACAATAACAATGCTCTGTCGGGCGATACGACACCGACGCCAGGCAGCCCGCCAAAAGCGGTGCGAAGTAACTCAGAGAGCCAAAACACGCCCGAGAAGAAATGTGTGACCACAATGAGTGGCAACAACATAGCGTGATACTACCAGAACCTTCGCTTCGAGTTTCGATCAAGTCTGAAAAGCCTATGGGACAGCGCTCAGAGATTCTGGTGAGGTTTCCTCTGACGAACGCTTGCAACGCTTTAACTGAACTGCAGAAAATGCGTGAGACACATCTGTATGCGTATAATGCGACATTGCAACAAATAAGATTGAGGTCTAACATCATAAATCTTACCGTCAGCAGTAGTAACAAGAAAATAGAAAGACGACAATGTGGATAGCGCGCTTATTTGCGTTGTGTAATTCGAAACATCGAAACCATTAGTGCGAGCTCCGGATAAAGTTTTCATTCTCAAAGTAAAATATTTAATTTTGTTTCAAAAGATACACGTGTAAAAATTTTCCTCAAATAACTCAAAATTTAACGCTAGAAGCGATATTAAATGCAAACATCCTATTCTGCGTTCGTAAGCTAAATGGATCTTCGAGAGAGAGAGAGAGAGAGAGAGAGAGAGAGAGAGAGAGAGAGAGAGACACTATTTCCAAATCACCTCCAGATCTAAAACCGCCGAATGTCATATATATTTCAATAAACAAGCCTACATAAAGAATTATGCATGAAGAGATTCACGATTACTCGAGAAGAGAAATGTAAAGTATATTTAAAAAAATGTGTTTCGTGCGAAACTTGAGTGCAATAATATAACGTTACTGTATTATTTCGCCCCCACATACAATGGGTATTACTGCAAAATTGCATCGCGCTGTGTTAAATTTGTGTTAACAAATGGTAATGTTGTGCTTGGGCATATTTTATTTATTAATTATACACGGGAAAAAAAATGAAGTTGCTTCAATTAAACGTCACGGGCTGCTGCCACAAGCGTATGTAGTTGATTCAATTGGATATTATTGGACCGAATATTTAAATTATTAAAACAATAATCTGATGTTTTAGGTTCATTCATATTGATGCTGCATCAATAAATTTTATCTCAAATAACACTAATGCTGTTGATACGTCATTTTTTTTCCGTGTAGAAAAAACCGTTGCTTGGAGAGCACCACATCGTTACCCCATATATATTAGAAATTATTTGTCTCGAAAGTTATAATTTTTATTCGCTCATCGCACAATTTTTTTGCTTACAATTTCATTACATCAATTTCCTTCTAGCAGCAATCTATTCCAACAACGCACCGCATATATTCTGACAACATAAATCTAACAACATTGACAAGAGACACGAGGTAGGCGCGTAGAATGCCTCAAGAATTTTTTTTTACATATGACGGAAAAGAAAACAAATTAGAAAGAGAGAGGTACAAAGAAAGGTTTCCGACTAATAAAAGATATTAATAATAAATATACACGCAAGTCTCATGATCGTACGAAGCATAGATGATCGTTTGCTTTTTGCAAGATGAGAAAAGCGGAGGACGATCAAATCAACCATGGCATGCAAAACCCGTCGCAAAGTGAATTAAAAGCTAACGCGTTGCTGAATGTAAAACTCATATAGAAAAAAAAAAAAAAATATATATATATATATAGGTATTACAAAAGCAGTCAAAACTGCGCTTTTTTAAGCGATATAAGGAATAAGTAGTAAAGTTATTCTCAACACAGACATATCTCAAAATTGTCCCTATTGGCTTCTTAATAAAAAGCGATATGAGGCGTATAAATACGCGTCATCATTTTTAAGCGAAGGTTTGTTATATAAGACTACATCGTGATATATGTTTACGAAGAAAGACTAGATAAAGTAACGGAGAAAATAACGAGCGTTGAGCGCCCGGATATTCTCGGAGATGAATATCTTAAAATCGATCGATTTTCTGAGAGTACAATGTGGAAAAGAAATTGTCCTTGATGATAATCCAATGACGCGATCTTCAAAGTTTACACGATTAGGATTAGATTAGTAGGTGAGAGCGAAAGTGCATAAATGTTCGCACAAATCAAAATTGTGATTTTTTTAGCGCGCGTTAGATCCCCCAATTAGGCGCTCTCGCTTCAGATATTACCTACGTATTATATCGCGCATGTGGCGACTCGTTCCTATATATAAATATCTCCGAGGGCTATATCTTTATAATCGATTAACGATACGGAAGAAGAGAACTCTAACAATCTACTTTTTTCCGTTGCATTTCGGAGTGGCAAAATTTCGCGAGATGCAAAACGCGGCGGTGTTTTTCAGTTAAAGGCTCAGCTAACGGCAGACACATTGTCATTCTGCATTATCAAGAAAAAATACGTAATGTTATAAAAGGGATTTAGCTGGATACGTATCGAAAATACTATTATGTACGATGAAAAATGCGTGGGTGAAATTTTATGAAAAGTCGTTGATCCTTAACTATTTTCAATTTTTATATAGTCGCTCCTATTATTATAGTGACACACAGACATTTAACAGCGACTTGAAGCTAACGAGGGAATTATCTAGAGTATTATTTATATGCAAAAACACCAAATCATAGATGAAACGTATAAATGTTTTTTTTTCTCCATCGCTTTCCGAAAACCCAATAATTTTTTTTTATTGTTGCAAAAATAAATCATGACGATTCGATATGGCCAAAGACAGAACAAGCATTAATATCAGTAGTTGAAGATTAAACATATACAAAAGTTGGTAAATTATCCACGAGTGTGTCATTCGTTGATTGTATAGGATAATTATAACGAGAAAAACGGAGACGGATATCATTACTCAAATATATAGATGCGATTAATCCGCAATGGAAAAGCCTTCGTTACCTTCCGTGCGCATTATTCGCAGAAAGAATAATGGTATCCTCTGAAATCGCTTGATAGCGTAAATTAATTAATCAATTTTCTGTTTGATATTTTTTACGTTGAAAAGTCAGACTTTGCAAGAAATTGTTTATTACACATACGAGAGCAAAAATAATAGAAAGCGAGAGAGAGAGAGAGAGGGGGGGGGGAAGAGAGAGCAAGTGAGCGTTTAGGTACATATATGAGAAAAAATAAGAAGGGAATGAACGTTATGGTTACACATAGAAAATGAATGTGAATTTAGTATTAACAATACAAACACCACACACACACACACACACGCGCGCGCGCGCGTTCCACTACGATAATTAAAATTAGCATAAGCTTGCAATTATCTATTTACTAATTGCGGTTAAATAAAACTACTTATACAGTGCGTAAGTATATTATAATAAGAAAATGGGAGGAGGGACGGAGTAGTGGGTGGACGGACGTGGTTAGAGAAAGAGAGAAAGGGGATATATATAAAACAAATTACCGGCCATATTAAATTAGGATTTTATATTGTGCGCAAGTCTGTGAGTCAAGAATGTGAGCTAAGGGAGGAAAGCTAAAGCAACTTTGGTATGCAAATCCATATTAACAATTCAAGCGAATTACAATACAGTTCTGCGTGTAAAGATATAAATTTCGTAACAAATCTGTCTCCTATTTCGTAAAAGGCAAACTGAGGGGAATCCGCGTGATATTTTCGTAGGTCGATCCAGAGCGCGCTAGAGCGATACTTGGCGAATGTATTATAAGTAGATGATACGAGGTTGCATCGATCCTCGACGAAATATCTCGCCGATAGCTGTGCCGCTGACGTAACATCGCAAAGTCTCTTGTACGAAAGAAAGAACAGAAGATTACTCGCTATCTCTTAACGTGTCTCCGACTTATTTTTCGATTCGCTTTTGCGCGCCGTGCCGCGCCATGATGCCGCGATCTAGCGTGCGAGCGATCACGCGATCGGTCCTCAATGTCCTCGCATGCATGCGTATGTAGTATGTACGTGCGAGATCGTTACCCGGCCGAAGAATTTGCTTAAGAGCGACGACGTAGCACGAGAGAGTGCGAATATCGATCGCGTCACTGCACAGCCAAATGCGATTTTGAGACTTGCAATTTATTCAACCGGCAACGACAAGGTCGTTCAGAAGGTATCTTCCTCGCGAAATGGTTAATAAGTTTCGAACTTCGCAACCGTCTCTTCGCCGTCATGCATGTCGCGTTCGCGCCGATCTCTTTCCGCTGAATCATGAAATATCGGTGATAATGAGTTAATGACGAATGAACGTACGCTTTCCCGATAGCTTGGAGCTCGCGCGCGGATCGTAGCAAAATTGTCTCGCCGCGCCGCAAGAAAGGCGCGTAGGTCTGCAGGCATTATACAAATTCCCGACGTACCGTACTTTTAAGGCATTATAAGCTAGGTTGAATATAGAAAATTTTTATACGATTTATAAGACAATGCAATTTGCGCATGCGATCAATTAATTTATTATACACGCACGTTTCCTTGTTGGCGTTTTTGTTAAATGTGCACTATATTCTTCGGGGCGCGGTGTGTCCCGCGGCCATCCCGCGCTGACCGTGAGTATCGCGAGTGCCGTCGTGATCGAAGCGTGTCGGGCGACAGTGATACAACCCTCTGAGTTCCAAACATTATTTTCTTCCAAATCAAATGTGTCTTATATTTAATTAGGTTGAGAATAATTCGTGAAACACCAAAAATAAGATAATAAAAAAATTCTCACTCTCTTTGATTCTTACGGGCAGGCACAAGATCGCGATGTTGGGCATGTATTCTAAATGTATATATATATATATATATATATATATATATATATATATATGTATGTAGGACTCAGAGGGAAAAATAAGTAAATGGCGACGGGAATCGTACGCGGGTCGCCGCGACGTGCTCCGCGCCTCGCGTCGTCCTCGCATTTCCTCGAGGACGCGTCTTACCTATTGTAAGATAGCTCTCGTCTCCAAGTGAAAAATTCCGCGTGGTTAATTATTATTATCATGCTTCTCCCTATTATATCGCGCGCATCCATATAATAATAATATTTATCGTGCGTCTTTCGTAATCTCTCGGCGCGACCGTCGCGCCTATCGTGTGTACCTATCTCTTTGACTGTCACTTTGATCTTTCGTAGCCGCGACAAACGACGAGGTCCAATTAGTTTTAGCCAAGATTTAGTGAAAGCGGGGAAGAAGAAGAGCTCACCAAATATTCATGATATCGAAGTTAATCTAGGCAACAAGAATGTCGAAGAGATGTCCTCGTTTTCAGACATCCAAAGTCTGAGTTGTCTAGGAAGTCGCGTTGCGATTTGCGATGCAAACTGACCGCGACTAGGAACGCTTCTTTTTACGGTATACATCGCGTCACGCTTATCGGTTGCAAGTTGCAACCGATGCACCACCAATATCGCACTGATCGCCGGGTCTTATAAACCAGCACGTACCTCTTGTCCTCTTATCATCGCCCGTAGACCACGTAGACACGATTAGCGAGTAGTAAGTATGTGGGACTCGAGAGAGCGAGCTAGGTTCCATCGACGCGCGCGACGGTCGACGAAGACGAAGTAGCTTTTTCTCTCTCGTACAACTGGCGTCGACGCCTCTCTCGAATCTAAAATTATAAAATAACGGAAAATTGTCAAACTGATCGTGCATCGCTAGAGAGGTAACGAAATTTCGCGATCGAATAGAATAGGGATTGAAAGACGAAATCTCTTTGAATTTCAAGTTAATTTTGCGTCGGCGAAAGGACGATTTGAATCGATCCCAATTGTAATTAAACATTATTTATGCGGGAAGGAACTAGATAATTTCTCAAAATACAGTATGTTTCTCAAATACAGTTATTTTTTAGAAGAGCATTAGAACTGCAATTTTATTACTACTATACTATAATGTAATAATTAACAGGGAATAATAATTTCTAAATATATGTTCTCTTCTGATAGTCGCTTCGCATATTTAGCAATATTTTGCAATAAAAATTCAAAAATTGGCGACTAGTTCCTTCCTTTTTACGTTCATAATTACGTTTGACATAAAAGGGAACGCTTCTCCCTCGCGTTATCGCGTTCGAAGTATAATAGGCTCGAGTTTTCTTTTCCTCGAACAACAGCAAAAGCGCCGCGGAACGTAAATCAATAATTTTTTAAATCTCCTTCGCGTTACGAGCTTCGATCTATAGTAGTCGCGCGTACGTAGTATGTGCTCTGAATATTTAGTGACGTCCAGACAAACTGACAATAACGGCTGTGAGTGAGCGGTATTCTTTTCAGCAAAAATCTGTTGTAGCGTAAACCGCGTTCCACTCGATTTGCCCGTGTGAATCGGACGATCATCGTGTCCGATCGATATTACTACACATACACCACAATTTTAACGTACACACACACACACACACACACACACATAGCACGCATAAAAGCGCATGCACGCTTCGATTGATTTGTATGCTATCGGAATAAACTTTTTTCTCTTCGCACTCTAATTTTCGACACTTACAGCCTGGAGCCGCATTTTAGCATCCCACGTTTGTAGTAAACCACGTTTCGGGAACGAGGGCTCACTTATATTACATCGCGAATACATCTTACATCTTACTCGAACGTCGTACCAGATTCATGCAATTAGCCTGAGAAAAGAAAAACGTTGAAATTCGATGCACTAGCAGTGAACTATTTTTTTACGAATGATAAAAATTGTCCTTGCGGTTATATGCCGATACTGATATTAGTGATATTATAAGCAAATAAGCGATACTAATCTATTGTATATGGACGATTAGATTCCCTTCGCACGCGAATTACAATGGTAACGAGTAACGACTAACGACACGCGTACGTATTGTGACACACGACACACGATACACATACACATGACATACACACATTCTTTTGAGCAATCGTCGATCATTCGAGATAGAATTTCCTTCTTGCGGGTACGTGATAGTTTTTTCATAATCATCATATTATGCAAAGTGAAAAGCGCGACACCGTAGCACGTACATATTTGCGTTGTGCGAAATTCTGCTTTTGTTTAGAAAAGAGAAAAGAGAAGATAACGCGCGACGCACAGCGCGATAATTTGCGAATCTGTACGCAATCTGCGCCAAGCGATTAATTTTCCGTCACGACTTTCATCGCATCAAACGTGCATGTATGTACCATTGTTTTACTTAAATCTTATTTGTTGAATATCGATTTACGCGCTGCGTTTACCTACTTATCGCGCGTACCGATTGTTCCGATACGCACGTCGTTTTAGTACGGGGCGATTTAAAAGAACGACGATGTATTTAGCGCGGGGTGATTATTACTGAGATGGTCACGTGTCACATGCAATGACTATGAATTATTATGTATTATGCATTATGTATTATTATTATATTATTATATTATATTATATTATATTATTATTATTATTATTATTACTATTATTATGAAAATATATCGCGTTAGTTTTTGAACAAACGAATAAAAACACTAGGGGCGGGGAAATAAAAATTGTTGATGGCCAATATCAAATATGTATAAAAGTAATAATAATGCAACATTAATAATAAACAGATATTATTAAATCCGCTTGTCTTGTAAATAAAATCACAATTAGTTTCTGAAATGTTAAATATAATAATATTCTAATTTCGATGATGCAACAAGATTGTAAATAATTCTGTAATTTAATTGTTACTCAATTATTTAGCAAACAACGATTTTACCGACAGTATAATTGCTACGAAGTTTTGACTGTGAAGCGAATCCAGATAGAGTACCAAGTACCAAACGAGATTCGTAAACCAATATTATTTTTAGAAGCTTGTTTATCATTCTATACTTTAAACGAATCATAACCATTTTAACCCGCAAAGAGAATTTTTTTTTAAGATTTGCATTGTTATATGAAATAAATTGTATTAAGAGTGCATTATATCAATTTGCATAATTAATTTTCAATTTCAAGGAATTCGTCGAGAATTATATTATAGTTGTGGGCGTATTTTTTGGAAGTAGTTAAAATCTATTTCAGATTTCAGAAGAAAAGCGTGGAGAAATATCTTTGACATTAACGAAAAAGGTTCGTAAAACAATGATAAGTATAATTCGTTTACCGCAAATATATCAAAGATTAATGAGATAAACGGGCGACGGAGGTGAATGCTCGATCAGAAGGGATTCGCCCTGCATTGTGCCGTATATGAATCGTCATAAAGAAATTGATCGCGCGACGACGTCCAACGTCGGCCAACCGAGCCAACGCGCAACGTGACTGTGCACTGTACACACTGTGGAGTGTGAAGTAGGGTGGAGGATAAAAGCGGGAAATGCAGGAATCTCGATGGAAATTCGCTCGCTTCTCGAGAGAGGGTTGTCGCGGGACAACCCGGGGACAACCGAGCTGCCGAGGTGAAGCGGCTAGAGCGAAGCAGGAGCAGCGGAGCAGGGGCCGAAGGGGACGATTTCGTGGTCGCGGCGTCGCGGCGTCGCGGCGTCGCAGGTCCGATGCCAAAGAGCGAAGCGCTGTTATGACTCGACTCTCGCGAGTGACGAGTCCGGCTCGGTCGTCGGTCGTCGTCGCCGTCGCGCGTCGCCCGGAGTCGAGGAGGTGAATCTGCCCTGCCGCCGCGCGCCCGCGCCGGTTCGACGGTTTAAAACGGCCCGGCTCGCGAAAAACACGTGCGAGAACCTTGATTCGGTCTTTACCTTCTTTCCGCGTCCGGTGTTCGACGTATATTCGGTGTACATCGCTCTGCTTCCCGTCGGTCTGATCCGCGAAATACGTTTTATCGCACCTCCCGCTCACCGTTTGTTTTCGTCAAGATCATGAAATGGTACGTATACAAGACGCCCTCCCCCGGATCCCCGATTAATTGACGTGACGCGACGGACGCGACGAAACGCGACGTCCAAGGGGTCAAGTCGAACGCGCCAAGTGATCAGTCGAATCTAACTTCACAGCGTATAACTTGCTTTTCGTGACCCGCGGCCCGCGGCCCGCGGCTTTAATTTTAGTTAACTAACGCGGGCGACCGTGCAAGCCATGCAGGCGTGCACCGATTATTATCTATATCTATAACCGTTTAATTAACGTATATGGTTACGTATGTTTGCGCGCGAGCGTATATCATTTTCTAAACGTATACGCGCATATACGCATACTTCGAGCAGATGATTTACAAGCCTTTGCCAGAGCGTTAAACTTAACCGTTTTGGAATACTTCCCGAAATTATAACTAAGATATATCTGGATTAACGCTTCTCTTATAAATAGAGAGAAAATAAAGCATATTTCTCTTCACGAGCTTCTTCTCTCGGCACAGTAGATTGAAAGAGTTTGTGACAAAAATTTCTTTTGTAAAGTCGTCTTTCCTTTTACCTCTCTCCCCACTTAATTTTCTTGAAAATAAAAAATTTAAATAATTTAATCAAAGCTCTTGTTTTATTTTATATATTTTTATTTTCGTAGTTTTATCTTAGCAAAAGCGTTCACGCTAATTCTTCAATCTAAACATCTAGAGATATATTTATTTGAAAATCGAAATGGTTTGGTGAATCAAGCTACGATACAAAGCGTAGGCATAGTCGGCATATAGATAATTAAGAAGCGACAATAACTTTTGACGCTTAATTATATAACAATATAATTACCGTCTATTTTAGCGCCCGGGGTCTCTATATTCTCTATCTACGATTTGTATCGCGTCCGAGAGAGAAACGGAATATCCTATTATTAAAGCCTCTTAAATAATCATCGCGTCGTATATATTCTTTAAATCCATTTTGCGTTACCATTATCATTCGATAACTGTAAAACACAAATTGGTCGTGCATCCGTGCATATGTGTAATTGATAGACTTACGGAATGTTCTATTCGTATGTAAGTAATCCGAAATCCGAGTGAATAGGTGTATATAAATGATAACGGCTTTGCTCTATCGCTCGCTTATTTCGAAATTTAGATTGAGCGATAAACGAAGTATTTCGCGTTCTAAGCTATTCTTATTTCCGCGCAGATCGCGCAGATCATGAGATACGGCCGCGCAACGTTGGCTCGTACGGAATAAGAAAACGGAGTGAGAAAAATGGAGACAAGTTGGAAAAGTTGTCTGGCGAGGAGGAAGATGCTGCTCTCGGTGTATTATATGCCGAGTGAGGCCGTTTAAAAATAGACGTTTAAACTTAAATTATGCCCTCTAAGCAAAGGGAGCCGCGAGCAGACGGTCAAAATTTTATTATAAGCGCTTTACGCCGCTTTAATATATAATTAACCGAAACGGAATCAAAATCCTTTTTTATCCAACCCAACAGTATTTAAATTTATGACAAAAGACAGCGCGACAATTTATGCGAATTCTAATAAGTACGATACATAGTAGGGCCAATGACGAGTATTTTATTTTCCTCTGTCATAATTACTCTGCTGTAATTAAATAGTTATTTGTGTAACAAGTGCGGGAAGTTGAGAATTGAACATGGGTGCGGAGCGCACGAGCCGAAGGCTTCAATTCTCAACTTCCCGCACTTGTTACACAAATAATTATTCCTAGCTTTTTCTAAATTGCACGCGACAACTCCAACGCCACGATAACGGGCAATCGAATTCTTAATGACCTTTATTATAATTTATGCGCTGTACGTGTGCGTAATGCGGTATGCACGGCAGTATGCGTATTGCGTAGGCAGAATACCATACGTATATATGCTTGCGCTCTATAACTGTCTCTTGTCACAAAAAATTCCCGTCTTCTTAAAATAACAATTCACTCGGAAGAACGTCGTGCCGCGGCCGTGGCGCGCTTCACGCTTGCGACGCGCGACAGTTGCGAGTTGCGAGTTGCGAGTTGCGACCAGTTGCGACCGACTCTCGCAGCTTATATAAATTAATAAGCCGCGAATAAGCGCTCCTAATACGACTCGATCGTCAATGATCGTCAATGAACGAGCACTCGTGAAACGATAATACGATTGATGATTCATAGAGGAGGGGGATACGTTACGAATTCAAATATTTGTAATTGTCCATCTCCTTTTCCACGATGCGCCGTGAAAGGAAATTTTACTTTGTCGGCGTTGTCGCGCCGATGCGTTTACTTATTACCATGCGGAACTTTGAGGCGCGCAACTACACGATAAAAGAGCGCAAGATTTACGCGAGATAATAACCAATAATAAACGTGCGAGAGAGAAAGAGAGAAAGAGAAGAGGCGCCGGGCTCGAGTGGGCGCGGGCGTGTGGTGTGCCGTGGGGCGTGGAGAGAACGAGACAGAGCGAGAGAGAGAGAGAGAGAGAGGCCAGCAATGGCCAGCATAGCAGGAGGGTGCATCGATCGCCGTACATCGCGCGCTATCTCCCGGCGATTTCGCGCACTACGATTCTCGTGCGGTGCGAAATCGAAAGATGGCCGTCCCGCTGGCATTTGACGGCAAGTTTCACGGCACTCGCGGCAGCCGCAGACACCCGGGCCCGGCCGCGACGAGCGAGTGATCGGCTACACGGTAATTCGAGACCGTTGCGCGGACGGCGGCCCGGCCACGAGAAGGATATGGCGGCGGCGGCAACGACGACGACGACGACGACGGGATTGTGAAGGGAGCTGTGCGCTGTGCGCGTGCCTTGTGCGACCGTGTCGTCTCCGCCGAGAGTACGTCGCGCACGAGAGGAACGTCGCGACGTCGCGGACGTCGCGCCTCGCGCCGTGTGAGCGCGGTGTCTCTAGCAGACGACATTGTTAGTAAAAATAAAATACTATTGTATACCTATATATATATTTGGATCGGCTCTCGGCTCTCGGCGCTCTCGCCCTGCCTCGCCGCTCTCGGACTCGGACTCTCGGTTTCGGTAGTGGATACGCGCGGCCGCGGCGGTTCACGGTTGTGGTTGGTGGTGATCTCGGTGAAAAACGCGTTCGTTCGCGACGACCGCGACGGGCGAACCTGGCGAACGTCTCGCCGCGACATGAAAATTCGTTTAATTCGCTGATTCGCTGCAGTTGGTCGTAGGCGGCGAAAGAAGGTCGCTTTTTATGTCACGCCTCGCGTCGATCGTCAACGATGATCGCCCGTCGACGTCGACTCGTCGGCACTGTCGGCACCGCCAGTCGAGAACAAAATTGCGAAAAAGAGCCGAAAATGTGCGTGCTCGACTGCCTCAATTGATTGTCGTGACCGTCGTGACTCGTGACATCAGTTATAGTCGGCGAGCCGAATCACGCTGGCAGAGTAACGATCGCTAGGTCGAAGGCAAAGGTAGAGAGGGAGAGAGAGCGCGAGTGCCGCGAGCCGCGAGCCGCGAGTTGATGCGAGCGATCGGAAGATCGCTTGATATGGAGATTTGCTTCAGGACCGAATAGCAAGGAACTGATACAGCGACAGCGACACTTTTATCTCGCACGCAATCATGGCTGCCTAGCGCAGGGCGCGTATCGACCAATTTTGTCAAACGTCATTTCAGGTTAAAATCCGTATTCGAGATGCATTACGCGTTGACAGTTTACTTGGTCGACGCGGTGACATAGCGCTATCGCGCGCGGGCACGCGCTGCGTCACGTCTACATATATTTACGACATAATCTGTCACTTACGCTTTCCAGGTCCGCGAACCCCGAGGATTCGGCGTTGAGGAATGTAGGCGACGAAAGCACGGATCAAAATAATAATATAACTATGACGAGCGAAGATCTGCTGCAGCCCGGCCATGTGGTCAAAGAGCGTTGGAAAGTTGTAAGCATGTTTTAATTCTTTTCATGTATTCTAATACTACGTTTACGCGAGCGTTACTTTTGTAGTAACTTCTGATATATCACTCGTTTACGCGGAGTAACGTATCGTAAGTTACTACAAAATCCCGTTTACGCGGAGTAACGTATCGTAAGTTACTACAGAAGTAACGCTCGCGTAAACGTAGTAAATGTCTTATACTACGTTTACGCGAGCGTTACTTCTGTAGTAACTTGCGATACGTCCTTCACGTAAATGGGATTTTGTAGTAACTTACGATACGTTACTCCGCGTAAACGGGTGACGCATCACAAGTTACTACAAAAGTAACGCTCGTGTAAACGTAGTACGTGTCCCTTTTATAGCGTGTCACTTTTATTAAGAAATACTTGAAGGTGTCAATGAACATTACATATATCGAAGGAAAAATATTTTTATATCGATGCTGTATTTGCCGTTTGGTCAGTGTAGCTCAGATATATTATCTAAGAAAAACATGTGTCTTTTTGATATATAGGTGAGAAAAATAGGTGGCGGGGGATTTGGTGAAATTTACGAAGGTCTTGATTTAATGACGAAGGAACAAGTGGCCCTTAAAGTTGAATCTGCACGGCAGCCAAAACAAGTCTTGAAGATGGAGGTAGCTGTACTGAAAAAATTACAGGGTTAGTATAAACTTTTTAACTAAACAGATATTTATGATCAAAATATAAAAGTAAGTCAGATATTTTTTATTTCTGAATTATTGCTCTATTATAAAAATTGTTCTAGGTAAAGACCATGTTTGCCGTTTTATTGGCTGTGGACGTAACGATAGATTTAATTATGTTGTAATGCAATTACAAGGAAAGAACTTGGCGGAATTGCGCAGAGCACAACCGCGAGGAGCTTTTTCACTTTCTACTACGTTACGTCTTGGTCTTCAAATTTTAAAAGCTATAGAAAGTATTCATCAAGTGGGATTTTTGCATAGAGATATTAAACCTGTAAGTGTGTGCTTACGCATTGTTGTTTACATAGAGTTTACATATTTTGGATAATCTGTACTTTTACTGAACCACATATTATAGACGTGCATAGTCATAAGAATATTAATAGTAATATTTTGTATTACAGTCAAATTTTTCAATTGGCCGCCATCCGTACAACTCAAGGCTGGTATACATGTTAGATTTTGGTCTAGCTCGACAATTCACGACCAGTACGGGAGAGGTGCGACCGCCTCGTGCCGCTGCGGGATTTAGAGGAACCGTCCGATACGCGTCAGTCAATGCACACAAAAATAAAGAGATGGGCCGACATGATGATTTATGGTCACTATTTTATATGCTAGTCGAATTCGTTAATGGGCAACTGCCATGGCGAAAAATAAAAGATAAAGAGCAAGTAAGTGTTGGAGAGTTTTTTCAAGTTCACAGACAGTTATAAGATACACAGGGGCAGTTTTGTGTGTACGTAAGAGCATTATTTAAGTATTCGTAAAATCTTGTACAGGTGGGTCTCATGAAAGAAAAATATGATCATCGATTACTTTTAAAACATCTTCCATCCGATCTACGAGTCTTTTTAGAACACATTCAGGTGATCTTCGATATGATTTGTACTAATTATAGGATAGTTAAATATTTGTCTTTGTAATAATGCGAAACATTTTTATATTTTCGTAGAGTTTGGAGTATGCAGATAAACCAGATTACGGTATGTTAGCTGGTCTGTTTGAACGATGTATGAAACGTAGAGGTGTAAAACCAAACGATCCCTATGATTGGGAAAGGCCATTAATAGCTAATGAAGGTTTATCAAGTACTAGATCATTACCTACGGTAGCTGTACCACCTGCTCTAACTACAGCTACTACTCTCAATCAGCCTCCAACCACAAATGTGGATACGAATAACCAAGAGAACGTGGAACCAGACAACAGAAAGGAGTTGGATGTAAGAAATACAAAACTCTCGTATAATCATATAAATATTTTTATCTTATTCAACTTATTAGGACAGCACTTATATACGTGCTACATTTTTAGAGATCTTTAATATTTTTTAACGTTTTAGAGAATACAATCCATTTTTTATCGTGTTTTTTGTTTTGCATTTGTTTGACATAGGCACAATTGGATTACGAAAGTATATATAGAAGAAACAGGCAACGTGGAATAGAAGGTTCTCCAGTGCCATTTGCAGCAGCTATCAGCAATCATGGTAGGGATAAAAATTGCAATGCCACAATACCAACGACGGATAATACGCATCAACAGGTCGCGCAACAGACTGTGCCACCTTTGCCAACCCAAGGTTTGTACAGTTTTACAACCTATGTTGCAATCTATATTGTTTGTTTGTTTGTTAACGTTATCACAGTAGTAAGTATCGTTCATCGCATAGGATCTCCCAAGAAACGACGCGCAGTCTCGATGGCAGTAGAATCTCAAGTTCCTACGCCAGTAGAAAAGCAGGTAGATAACGAGGGAGATGCATTGATGGCTTCCGCACGTTCCGCATCCGAGGTTCCTCGCTTTAAAACAGTAACAAATGCAACAGCACCACTTAGGAAATCAGCGAGCGGCGCTACATTGCCCGCTACTCTTGCCCGTTTGCGCATCGCTACACCCGAGGGAACGTCTGGGGAATTACCGAGCCCTCGTATACAGACGGAAGTCGACGCTTCTTATTGCTCTTATGACGTAACTAATACTAAACACGTTGGAAATCAAAGCCCGGTGAATACGCGATCTATATTTTACACGACAGATTTTTATACTTAGATCACAACTGACAGTTGCACAAATTTTATATTTTCAGGTAACTGAACAAAGAGAACCTCTGAGAAGAGAACCCAGAAGGAGAGCAGATAGCCGACAACAAGTCAGAAGCGGACGTTCGGCGGTACGTGACTGTTCTATTACGCAATTTGCGCAAATAGACGACGACAACGTGTCCGCCCTGCAACAAGTGACCAAAGGCGGCGGAGGATTGACTCTGGCCTCGCAATGGAAATCACAATTTGACGATTCCGAAGAGACTGATAACGAGTGGAAAGGCGAAAATTTGCAGAGCCCCGAGCACAAAGGGACAAATGCCCCATCCATACCGCCACAAGTAAAAATTCTTGCTTATTACAATAAAGAACATAGATAAGCAGGAGCATATTACACTAAAAATGTTTCGTTCGAACAATGGTCGAAATTTAAACAAATTTACGCATGCTCGCATGCAGTCCACAGGTATCATCGAGGGTTCACAGCACGTGGATACAAAACCCGTCGCAACTCAATCAAATGCCTCAAATGTGTGTCAACAGCAGTCTTTAATGCCCATGCCCATAGCACTGTCGAAAATAAGCGAGGATTCTCCGAGACCAGCGGTGCCGCATAGATGTTTAAACATTGCGGGTATCGAAAAATATCCAGAACTGCAAGGAGCACTCCCGCGAGCTTGGAGCGTTCCAGTTTTAGCGCCACACGTTCGAGCTTATCTCGAAGCTCCATTGGTTCGTACCGTGTTCTACGTACGAACGCTACTGCGTGCTTTTACACAGACGTATCTAAATTTCGATGGTAACAGGTTCAGCAAGCGGCATTTGATGATTTGCTGTATGAAGTCGATGTTATGAGGAATATTGCTACTCGATACGATGAACCGAGACAGACCGCACCAGTCAGAAGATCTAGTCTACCAGCAGTAGCTTTCTCTCCCGATGCAATGTTTAACACTCCTAGAGGAGAGGAAGAGGAAGAAGCAGTAGCGGGTAGATTGGAAATCAGAGTGGTAGATGCAACCGGTGGTGCTACAATTGTGCAGACTAGTGCTGACAGGGAACCGTTACAAAGTACGTGCAATCGATTGTTTTTTTTTTTTCTCACACAAATCTGTTATTGATTAGTGAATCAGTGCGTTAGTCAACTGCAATCCATTTTACGTTTATAATGCAAATATTTGCATTATCTGAATTTGTAGAGAAATTGACGAACGGCACGGCAGGTAGTCCAGCTAGTCCTAATCCGGGACCGGAAGAACCATCGATATATTACGACGCGACCGAGAATCGACCAACTGCAAACGCGAGTTTGCAAAAGGAATCGATTAATGCCACTACTGCCTTGACTACTGTACAAAATGCAGTACCGATTCGTGATAATAAGGACAATAAAGAGAAGGAAACATCTAGTAGGACGTACATCGCTCATAGTAAAATACCGGTTCCTGTTAGAAGTCCAAGGTGTTCGTTATCCGAATCGACGCCCGAGACTAACACTTTAAATATCAAGGCGGGAACTGGAAGTGACGTAGAAAAACTACCCGTGCCCGCGACCGCAACTAAGGAAAAGGAGAATAGTTAGTAAAACTAATATAATATAGATTCTATGTAGCGGCTAGACCAATCATGTCACCTTTAACTTCAGCCAGCTCTGCCGAAGATGAAAATTTAACTGGATGTACGCCCGCTTTGCGCCGCCGAAGACAAAGTGAAAAATATGTGACAGACGCTAGTCAGCTGAATCTGCAGTTCCAAAGACCGCAACATAGAACGAGACCGCAATCTGAAGTATTGCCAAGACTTTCTCCTAGGGGAGTACCTTCGCATCTTTTACGGGAGCCTGGTAAAAAATCCGAAGAGAGCAGTGAAAGTGATTCTAATAGCAGTGGACCGCCAAAATCTTCTCGTCAACCACCACCACCGCCTACATCGTTGCCACCTCACATAGCAGAAAATAAAGCTAGGTGAATATATATCGCACACACGTATCTGACTGGTACACGAAAAAATAGTCTCAGATATTTGATATATTATTTCCTTAGCTTGATATGTCACTACGTAAAATTAATTAAAACTAATGATATCGCATATACGTTCCCTTCTGAATAAAGATGTCAATTTTCTGTAATTATAGATGCCGCCGTTATTGGCCCATACCAGACGCAACGGTTGCTAGCAGAGAATCGTGAGATTTGATGTTAAAAATGACAAATAGCCTTTGTTTGTGTTAAGATTGAGAAGGCTTTTACTGCTCAACCATCTGAGAATGTGATATCATTTGGGACACCGAAACGACGCAATTTTTCTGATAAATACGTCGGATACATGAAAATTTTAGTAAAAAATAATCATATCTATATATCTACAAAGAGATACAGAACATAGCTGTTCATTTAGCGTGCGAAAATGTAATTGTTTGTGAATGCGTATTCACGTAATGCCGCTTTAATTAATTGCTGAACTTGGTGAGCGACGTTCTCAAAAGAAATCTTTCTAATTATTTTTGGGGGCATGTGCTCAACAAGTCACAGCAACGTGAATGAAAGTGTACATGAGATTGCTTTCAGTGTGCAAGCAGTACACGTATCTGGTAATTCAAGATGGTCGCTTTTTTTAAGATTATACTTTTTTTTACTTATAACACTTGTCACATTTATGTTACAATAGATTTGTTCGTGTTACTTGAAATTCTCAAAAATTCCTGCCTTTAAAACGAGATAAATATACATTAGGCATTGGAGAAAAAGAAGGCAAAGATTCTAAATGCAAATAGTGCGAGCAACACAAACAAACCTGTCCATTCAGTATCTTTTAAATTTCTACATATGATAATATATATTTCTTTTCTTATTTTTTTTAAATCTGTTGGATTTACAATAGCTTTGTTTATGCATATGTTCTGTAAATGTTACCAGAACTCTATCCTTTTATTAAATCCATCTGATGGAATTTTCTTTGCACGGAAGTATCGAATGCACTTATCTACATAATTTATGCATAATTTATGCATAATTTATCTGCAATAATTTGTTCATATTATATAAAATATCCTATATAGAAACAGGTTTTATAAGATTTATAAATCTTATAAGATTTTATTAGTGATAGCTGCAAAGTAATATAAACACATTTTTGTTATAAAAATATAATTATTACAACTACTGTTGTACACTGTGAAACATATTTTATTTGTTAAAATAATACGAATATTTTATATCTGAAGAAAAAAACAAGTGCTGGATAATTTATTAATTAAAATTATACTCGTCCGATTTATGAGCGTGCTTTAAATTATTAGATAGAAATTTAGACGTGCTTTCTTGCAATGAGCATAAATCACGCAATAATATAAGTTTTGTGGATAATATAAGAAAGCATGGATAATAGGTATTATTTAGTGTCGCAAGAAAAAGAAATGAGTTTTTAACGAAGTGGCTCTAGAATAATTATAAAATTCGGGCCAGATGTGTAACTAGTCTCCTTATAGCCCATTATTAAAGTCAACAAAATGCAATTTTTTCGCATATATACAAGATGTTTCAACACCATCGGAAGTTTTTTTAATAACAGATTGTTTGGTCAATTAAGGGTCGATTTTTCCTTAGCAAGAAGTAATCATTTATCGCAACTTTTCAATTTTTTGCATTATATATTGTTGCAACAAACCCTCAAATTAAAATTCTATTAAAATATATTTTTTACCTGAAATTAGTTAAGGAACATAGTTTTGTTATTCATTTGGTTCCTTGAAAATTACGTTTCGTAAAGCATTTTCTTTTTTTGTTTAATCGCTTATAATTTGAAAATGATTACGTACGTCAGCATTTTTGCTAAGGAAAAATTAATTATAAGTTGATCAAACAATATGTCGTTAAAAGAATTTTTAATGTTTTCGAGATATCCTGTAAATACATACATATATATGTATATGATCTCAGCTTCCTTGTACTATCTTTCATCTACAGATCTTTAGGCTAATTTGAAGTTAAAAAGGAGTTTTGATTCATGAACTGTAAATAATTAAAAATTCAGGGATCTTCTCAAATTAGCTTCAAGGATGTAAGTGTACATATATATATACACACACATATATAAGTTTACTGTAAAATAATAAATTTAAATTGAAAACTGAAGATGTTTAGGATTATTAGTAAATTATATTAATTATATAAAGTTATAACGTGCATTTATTTTTATTATTATTAAAAATATTTAAAATTGAATGTTAAAAAATTATACCGTTAAGAAAAATGCATCCCAAATTTATCAGGGAATCTATAGATGAAAGGATATGCAGGAAATTTTGGGAAACTGCGTATATGAGTATATGTGTGTGTG